GCAAAGGCAAGGGTTACCACTCCAATACCTTTCTACTAAAAATATTTTAGAAGAATGGTTGATTCTTACTCATTTGTTTAAGTGGGTGGCCATTTTGTATATATTCTCTTTCTTTTATTTAATTTATATATATATATAGTCAAGACCCAATACACCTACAAAGGGTGCATTTTTATTTGTACAAAAGTAATACAATTACTCATTTATTTATGGCACTACATTACATTTTTAATTAAGGGGTATGTTGTGGGAAGAGAATGAATAATAGTGGGGAAATTACAGCAATAATAACCAGGTAATAATAATATCTCAATACTCTCAGAGAAAATACAAGTATTATTCCATTATTAACATAATTTGAGATTTTCTGCCCCATTATTACCTGGAGATATTAAGTTATTATCCTCAAATTTCTGCCCATTATTACACAAACACAGAAAATAAACCCCATGTTATCACAAAGGACACTAGTAGCACCCAGGTTGTTCCCAAGATATTGCTCCTGTCTTACCTTGTTTTTACTGAGCTGTAATATGAAGTAATACCCACCACAGTTCACACCAGAGGTCACCAAAGCTTTACAGTGGCCTCCTTGATTTTAAGGTAGTAGTTCATTCATTTCTGTGAAGAAAACTTAATTAAATTGTTCTTTTTAAAGTTTAGATTATTATTTATCTAAACTCTGAAACCCTGAACACAAGCTAAATTTACAGAGGCTTCCCTCTCTGCTTAGCAGCCTTGTCCTGCATTGGAAATGTAGCGCTTTGGAAACGCAGCTTTTACTACTAAAGAGTACCAGAAAGAAGAAACACTGAATCTGTCAAAAAACAGAAGCCTATTTAGTATGTATGATTGTTAAACATAAAAAAATACAGACAGAGAATTGTATAAAAAGTAAAAATATCAGAAAAAAGAAAAAAAGATAATAATCTGCTCAGAATTAATCCAAATCGTTCGTTTTACACAATTACTGCAGTCATTGTGTTCCCTTTTGGGATTCATTGTATCATTGTATCATTGTATAATTTATCAGTTGTTCTGTTATTGTTGTGCATTAAATGTGATATGAAATGTCTTCAACTATGTCCCTCAAGGAAAAAGATGGGGAAGCATTGGTGCACACCTCAAATAACAACAGCTGACACACAAATCAACTCAATGTGGGTGTAATAGTCAAATCTCTCCACTGTGTGCCGCTGTTGCACTGTTTTCACATATCGCAGACCTACGCCTACTGCTGCAGCATCCTTCCAACTACAGAGCTACATGGGAACTTTGGATGATATTTTGTTTAGGGTTTAAGGTCAACTGACAAGATTAAGTTGAAACATTTTGCTCGAAATGGAGGGGCAAGTCACAGGAAACTTCTGACTTTTATTTTAGCACAGGCCTGTCACAGTGCCTTTTTATGCCTTGGATCTCAATAAGCTCTCTGGGTTATTACAGGTGCCACAGTTTCAACTCTGGCCACTTTAAGTAACGTTAACTTCATAAAAAAGGCATAGAAAATACAACAAACAAAAACAATGCACCTGCCATTTAATACTCCTATAATACTCGGTCTAGGTGTCAAGTTCCAAGGAATATGTACAATTTCACCGGAAATGAGTCTAATGTGCCTTCAAAATTAGGTTTAAATGTTAAACGTATTAAACTTTCACTCACTTCATGGTGCGCACTCTATAGCTAGGTCGTACATGTTAATTCTCATGACAAAATGAATCGTTTAACATCCGTTTTTTAATTGAAACTTCATATATATTTCCCAAAATTGTTTTATTCTGAAATGTTCTAGGAAGCCACATGTATGTCCCTGTATGAATCGACACCATCACTGCCGCTGACGGCTGAAAAGAAACCAGACGACAACAAGAAGCGCACGAGACATCACAGACCGCGGGAAGCCTGCCTCATTGTGTTGAAAGGTAGGTGAACGGCTTCTTATTGAGCGCAGCCACGGACCTGCGCGGCTCCCCTCACACATACTACAGTCGCCATTGAGCATCTTGTGCTTCTTTTCCCTCTTTCTCCTCCCTCGGAGGCTCGTGCGCTCAGCTAACGGTACACTGGACAAAGGTGCGTACGTGTGCGCGCGGGACTGTTTGTATCAGAGGGCTCATAGTAGCGTTACCCGGGCGACATTAAGCTTACGTTAGCCAAATTGGGTTGTTTTCGGTAGCACCTTGTTTGTCAGGGAGCCTTTGTGTGTGTATGTGCGTCATTATGCTTTTTTTATATGTGTATGTGACCCCTGAGACCAATTAGAAGACCCCTCTGTGTGTGTGTGTGAGTGTGTGTGTGAGAGAGTGTGTGTGTGTTGGGTGAGGGACACACTTTGAGGGCTGCCAGTGATAGAAAAGTTAACATTGTATAAGGTTTAATAGAGTAGAGCTCATGAAACACACTCAACTGATAGACGTCAAAACAAAATGTGACAAAGCACTTGACACACACACACACACACACACACACTATACATTACACCCATTATGGACATAAAGATTATCGTAAACATCATTAAAATATGGAAAATGAACGGCAATGTATCTTAATTTATGAATCCTTTTAAAACAAATATGTTCACTACATGGAGACAACAACAGTTAAAACCAAGTTTTTGCAAGAACACCTTTTATGTACTGTGTGTGTGTGTGTG